CAGATTATGCGGGGTAAGAGAGAAAGAAGTCGAGGTGAAGAAGTTTCGTCGCCAGCTTTGACGAACGGCCAGCCCCTGCCCCTCTAATTGAAATTCTATCCCCGACACCCCCCGCCGACTTTTCCCTCCGAGCCCACACCTCCGGCCCAATTATTTCACTGACTCTTCCGGTCTCGGGTCCTCACCGCTTCGGTTAATTCGAGTCCGACCAAACCCCACCTGGGTCTGCAAACCGTCCCTTCTTCAAATCGACTTTCCCACGCCTCGAACGTTTCAACAAGATTTCACTTCAATCTCATGTAGTAGTGTCCCCTGACAATTTTCTTTTCTCTTTCTTCTTCGTCCAGCGAACGTCCACTTCCGATTCACTCGGTCTTACGACCGGGCTCGTTCATCGTCCGTCTCGGGAGCAAATTTGGTGCCCACGACGTGTCTCGACTTTACTGCATCGTGAAAATCGTCGTCCCCTCGCGCTGACGCTGCGCTCGTTCCACTGTCCACTCCGTTCCGCCTTCATCCCTCGAGCATCTCCATTGACCGGCAAAGTTTTCTACCAAATGTATTCCGAATGTGTTTCTTCCTAAAGTCGAATTCTACGAACGAAAATCTGCGTTCCTGTTTGGCAAAATTTGTTCTTCGACCCCTTAAAATTAATACCGTCGCTGTAGCAGTTGTTAAAGGCTACGTACGATTTCTTGCGCACACTCTGAATTCTCTTTGGTAGCTTCTTTTTTATCGTAATTAGATTTTCGCCGAGGGAATTATCTGTTCTCTGACGTAGCGAGCCACACTGTTTTTACCCACGAAGATTTAATTCGCGTTCTCCGTCCCAGGCAGTTCACGAGAATTTGATTCGCGTTTCTTGCGTTCCGAGGAAGAGGGGTGAAATTGCCACGCTTCCTGATATTGTTCCGTCGCTCGCGCAGAGTATTTTGGCAACGGCACCGGGTGAACTTGTTACGTCGCGGCTTTTTCCTGGGAATTTCACGGTTTCCCAGCTGTAGCCAGAAATTCCACGGCTTCTTCCGGACTCTATCCTAAAACTTGTGCGTCCTTTTGTTCCGGAGATCCCGCAAAACTCGTTCCTTTTCCCATGGATTCCACGCGGCTTAAGTCAGATAATATTTTTTTTCTGGCTTCTAAATTTTTCCGAAGCCACGGATAATCTTCTGGCAACTTACACACGTCGTGTTCAGGTTAAAATCTGTAAAATCGTTGCCTCTTTTTCTTATCGTGAAACTTTCTTCCCTGGCTTTTTGTCCCCATTGAATATTAAACTTCGAAAATTGTTTAGCTCGACGATCGACTTTCCTTTTGTCAGGATCCCCGTATCAATTGGCGAACTTCGGATCAACGGGCTTTTCGGTGTCACTCCTTTTATCTCAATCCCCGGCGAATTTCGGAATTTACCTTTCACAGCCTGAGTGTTTAAGCTTCTCGCATTCTTCCTTTTTCAGATCACTGTCCTGGCAAATTTTTTACATTCCTGCCAGACATTTAAATTTTATCCTTCTTGTTCGCAATCTCTAACTTCCCTTTGTAAACCCCTTTTAATATTCATTTATCCCTAAAGTAGTTTAATAAGTCGAGCGACATGTAATTTCGACTTTCTCATTTAAAAATTCCTTTTGTCACAACCATCAGAAAATTGTTTACGCTTATATCTTCCTATTAATTCTAGGGAACTAAAAAATTCCAGCACCGAGCGCTAGATGCTTCTCGTACTCGTTTGGAATCCCTTGACAGATCCGTTCAATCCATTTCGATGCATCGAAGTCTTATTTCAGACGAATTGGTTCTTCCTCGATGCAATAACCGGTTGCGTAAACCGCCTGGTGATTCTTCAGAACTTCAGGTGTTCTTCAGCGAACGGAATCCGCGTGCGTCCTCGAGAAACTATTCCTATTGGGCGACGTTATCCCGCGGAACGATCGATCGAGCCCGCCGACTTTGGAACGGCCAGCTAGCAATATTTTCGTGAGTACTCGATTCCCGGTTACGAACGGGTCGGACGCGCGGACGAAATCACAGCCAGATATCGATCACGATTCGATTCGATTCGATTTAACGAGACGATCGACTAACTAAATGATCTTCCAACACTTGGCGCGGTGCGTATACATCAACAGTCTGAAGCGCGTCTCCTCCTCGATGCGCTTCGCTCGCATTATTTTAAGGAAGCCGGTGAATCTCTTAGGGTTGCTTCGACTCGGGGCCGCGTTGTGATAACCAGCTTCCTGGAATCTGCGAACAGAAGCAAATAACATAATGCTTCATTGCGTTGAATAACAAATTTTGTTTATTATCTGCTTTCTAAGAAATGTTATAAAAGTCATTTTTTATCTCTAAGCGTAAATTACAAGTTTCATGGGCTCACGAAATTTGTAATTTCTTTAATCATTCGCGTTCTCCATCTACATTTATATTAACTATTGCTCTATATTATCGTTATAGAGGGTGGGCCGAAAATCGTAGGCCGATTTCCGACCCACCCTGTGATCAAAAGTTTCTTGCCCATAAATAAATAAATGAATAAATAAAAAGGAAATGATGTGAATACAATTATTAGGTTACTGCGGACAATAATTTTCCTAAGTAGGTGGAGAGAGAACTGAACTTTTTTATCACGTCGTACTGTGCGTTACTGTGAAATTACGTTCGACGAGGGAAAACGGTAGAGTGAAAAATTGAGGTTTTTATTCGGGCGAAGTGTTTGAGGATCAGGCCAGCGTGAATCACGTTCGAAAGACGATTCGGTTGACGCGGTAACCGGAAACATCGCTGGGGATGGACGCGGATCGGCTGAAACGCGAAATCACGCGAGACTGAACCGGACGAATTAACTCACGCCGGCCATTTTCGTTCGCCGGTCCAACCTTTTGTCTTTCCGCGCCGATTTTTCCTTTCTCTCTCTGACTCTCTTTTTCTCTTTCTCTCTCAAATTCTGTCGTTCGCCTCTCGCCGGACCGTCGATGGAAATTGTCGACGTGATCGCGAGTGAAGGATAATACTCGGTGGTTCGCTGTCTTTTTATATTGTAATTGACCGCGTAAAATGGTTCGTTGTCACGTGATTAAAATCGGTCGATCGCGTTTTTGTTTAATCGATCGTGTCGCTCTTCACACCGGGGCTCTATTGTCACTTGAAAATTTTTGTCCGCGAGTGGAATGAATTTATCGTCAGTTTTTAATTGAACTTCGTTCAGAGGGCAAAGTTAAATTGGATGCGAATGAACGTCTGACCCAACACGGTCCTACTCTACTTATTCCGTAATCTTGACTAGCGATCAACTTCTAGCATCTAAACATAATTTGCTTTGACTTATAATTTTTTCCAATGTGGATAATTCAAAATTATAATTGTGGGATCCCAGAAAAATAGACATTAGACAGTCTTTCATGAAGATAGGCAATAGGTGACGAAATTGGCAGTTGTCGTTGTCGTTGCTGTTATCGTTATCAATCCTAACAATTATCAACGAGACTCGAAAAGAGGCAGACATGTTCATTTCTTTTGGTTTGCAACAAAGTCTAAGGCCCGAATTTATATTCGTTTCTCAGTTCTCAGTATTCAGTTCTTAGTTCTGAATCTCAGTTCTCTAGGACGAGTCCATTCGCGAGCGTGTCACTATCAAACGCCAGTTTCAAATAAAGTTGACTGAGTTAAGGATTTAAAACCGAATATTTATTTTTTGAACCCACTTCCAACAATAATCAATGTTTCTATTGCACACACAATTATGTTATTAAAATTGTTTTAAAAATGGTACTTCAATAAAAGCCAGACGTGATTTACGTCTGTAATGAGTAACATTGTTTTCGGTTATTGGGAACATGAATGTCGGTCAAAGGAAAACAAATTGAATGCACCTCGCCGTAATAATCCTTTCTATGTTCTTTTGCGCGGATTACGTTCGGAAATCGCGCGAGTCCATTCACCGGGTCTGGTCTCGGAATCATTCGCCCGGAAATAAAAGCGGGAGCTAAAAAATGGAAAAATCTCCGGACAGATCGTTATCCGTGGAAATCCGTGATTCCATTTCTGCTCGTCCAAATCCCCCCTTGCCCTCCTCCGTATCCCGTCGCTCACTCCCGCGTCGATCGAGACTCGAGATTAGGCTTGTAGAATACCGATGAAACCGTGCTATCCTCATCGTTTCGGTTGTACGTACATCAGCATTCGAAGTCAGGAAATTGGCAAAAGAAAAGAGACCTCCTTTTTAAAAAGTTCTGTTCTATGATCTCGCGAGATGGAAACCAAGAATATTTATTGAAAATGTCTATCTTTCGTCCATAAAATTCAGGGAGCAAATATTGGCAAACGCGGAGTTCGTAGAATTGGGTTTTAATCGAAACTTCAGCTAGTATCACTGGTGGCCGACGTTTAACATGTAACAGAATCTCTTTACTAAGAGTGGTTGCCAGCATCGAATTTGAATCTCTGCCGGATTGCGACGAAACAATTCGTTTGAAACTCTTTCACG